TCACCTCCGAAACACCCAACAACATTTCATGCGTTTCCTTTCTCTCTCTCTGTCAAGATCAGTTCAAACCCCGTGCCATCTGCATCTCATGTGACAGATTCTGATCAATTCCATCTTTTCTTAATCACCCAATTTCATCAAGATCTCATCTTTACCTCAGATTATAATCTGGGTCGTTCTTGATTCTCCAGGAAATCTCTGAAACCAGTCCGATCCATGGGTTTCTTGGACCAAATCAAGAAATGGGCATTGATCTGTTGTGTGATTCTTCGATGTTCCGATGGGTTTTATCTCCCTGGCAGTTTCCCTCACAGGTATGATGTAGGAGACCAGTTATCCGTGAAGGTGAATTCTTTAACCTCAATTGAAACTGAAATTCCATATGGGTATTACACTTTGCCATTCTGTAAGCCTCTTGAAGGTGTCAAGGACAGTGCAGAAAACCTAGGTGAGCTCCTCATGGGGGACCGAATCGAGAATTCCCCATATCGATTCAGGATGCGGGTGAACGAGACCGAGATCTTTCTGTGCAAAACGGGCGCATTGTCAGCTGATCAGTTCAAGATCTTGAAGGAGAGGATTGATGAAATGTATCAGGTGAATCTGATTCTTGACAATTTGCCTGCAATTAGGTATTTGAACAAGGATGGTTTCCTTCTTAGATGGACCGGGTACCCGGTCGGGGTTAAGGTCCAGAGTGCTTACTATGTGTTCAATCATCTGAAGTTTACTGTTTTGGTTCATAAGTATGAGAGAACGAGTGTCGCGGGTGTAGTTGGGGCTGCTGATGGGGCTGAGCTTATAGCGGGCGACTATAACTCAAGCAAAGTTGAGGTCGCTCCGGGGTATGTGGTGGTAGGGTTCGAAGTCGTTCCGTGTAGCTTCCAACACAATGCCAAAGCGGTTGTGAATCAAAGTATGTATGTTAAGTATCCCACATCGATTCAGTGCGACCCCGCAATGGTGGCCATGGCCATTAAGGAAGGCGAACCGTTCGTTTTCACCTACGAGGTCGCCTTTGTAGAGAGCGACATCAAGTGGCCATCTAGGTGGGATGCGTATTTGAAGATGGAAGGCGCGAAAGTCCATTGGTTTTCGATCTTGAACTCGCTCATGGTGATCACGTTCTTAGCCGGGATAGTTCTCATCATTTTCTTGAGGACGATCCGAAGAGATTTGGCTCGGTACGAGGAGTTAGACAAGGAGGCTCAGATGAACGAGGAGTTGTCGGGGTGGAAACTTGTGGTTGGGGACGTTTTTCGGGCACCCGGGAATCCTAGACTACTTTGCATTGTGGTCGGGGATGGATGCCAAATTCTAGGAATGGCGGTTGCCACGATCTTTTTCGCGGCACTGGGGTTCATGTCCCCAGCCTCCCGTGGCAGCCTGATCACGGGAATGCTTTCCTTCTTCATGTTCTTAGGCATTGTCGCCGGGTTCGTCTCCTCTTGGCTTCTGAAGACGATCAATGGCGGAGATCCGACCGGGTGGTTTTCCATTTCGTGGAGAGTGTCTTGTTTCTTCCCCGGGATCGCGTTTTTTATCCTCACAACCTTGAACTTCCTCTTGTGGTGGAGCCGAAGCACGGGAGCGATCCCTTTCGTGACTTACGTGATCCTTCTCCTCCTCTGGTTCTGCATCTCGGTTCCCCTAACCCTAATCGGTGGACTCGTAGGGGCTCGGGTCCCGCACCTAGGATTCCCGACCAAAACCAATCAAATCCCTCGTGAAATCCCCGCCCAGAGATTCCCGACGTGGTTGCTTGTCATCGGGGCCGGGACCCTCCCGTTCGGGACACTATTCATCGAGCTTTTCTTCATAATGTCGAGCATTTGGCTCGGGCACGTGTACTACGTTTTCGGGTTCCTCTTCGTGGTCGTGATTCTCCTCGTCGTGGTGTGCGCCGAGGTCTCCTTGGTCCTCACCTACATGCAACTCTGCGTCGAGGATTGGCGTTGGTGGTGGAAGTCGTTCTTCGCATCCGGTTCGGTTGCATTTTACATCTTTTTGTACTCCATCAACTACCTTGTGTTTGATCTCAAGAGCTTGAGTGGCCCAGTCTCAGCCATTTTGTATCTGGGCTACTCGATGCTAATGGCTGTCGCGATAATGCTCGCGACAGGCGCCGTTGGCTTCCTCACGTCGTTCTTCTTCGTGCACCGCCTTTTCTCCTCGGTGAAGATAGATTGATGACCGGAAGGAAATATATTCATGAGTTCAACTTTTTCTATTTTCTTTCTTGGTTTGGTTAAGATACATACAATAATTACACTTTTGTTTTTTCCATTTTTGGACATTATATTGAGAGATGAACATTGTTAGTGGACAGATGACACTTTTGTTTTCTATTTTGGACATTATATTGAGAGATGAACATTGTTGGTGGACAAATGATATACTGAAATATTTTTAATGCATTTTTGTTTCATGCTCTCCCAATTCATAGTATTTCTTTTAATAGTAATGTGCACCATAATGAGTAACTTAATAATTTAGGCCCCGTTTGGTAACGTCGTTAGAAGTTAGTATTATTGTTTCGAAAAGACTATCTAATTAATTATAACGCTTGAGGCTTGAGAGCCGTTAAAGGTATTGCTATATTTAAATACTCCCTATGTTTTTAAAATCATTCTTATTTACCATTCAAGACATTACGATAACTTTTGTTTGCCAGTGTTTTTTCATCAATAATTTGATAAAATAAAATATTTTTGTCACCACCTGTTTTATAAAATTTTTGATGTAGTTTTAAATATGTAACTTTTACTTTTTATTTCTATACGAGTTTATTAATAAAACTATTTAAAGAAAGATGAGGTTTTGCTTGTAAAAATAAAATAAAAATTATTTTAAGAAGGGTTGGGAGTAAGTTTAAAAATACGGGTCTTTTTATTATTGAATTGAGATATTATATACTCCATATGTTGTGCCTAAACCAAAATCGTCAAAAGCTTTATACCAAACCACAAACTTTGTAAAATAAGTACGGATTAATAAACAAAAAAGAAAGATTCTCATTGAAAGTTTTGAAGCATTCAAAGGTTTAATAAAGTTTGGGCAACTTTTTGGAAACACATTGCCCACCATATGCAAAAACAAACATTTATTGTCTGTAACACACAGATAATAAATATGTATAATTGTTTAAAATGTGTAAAGTAAGATTCTCCTAACATCACTTAAAAATTACTCGGTAGTATAATGGATAAATAGACCTGTTTGGAGGCACTTAGACTGCCTCCAACGCACGTCCCTCATCTCTGTCCGTAGCTTACATGGCGGCCGTCCGTCTGGCGTGCAGCGTTGTTGAGGTCGAAACGATTTATGAAAAAATACACGCAAACAAAAATTATCAAAATGTCTTGAATAGTGGATAAGAACGGCTTTCAGAAACGGAGGAAGTACAAATTTTTAATATAGTATACTACTTCCGGTTAGTCTCATTTAGTATTTAAAGATAAAATATTTTTTCTTTTATCACTTAATTTCGTTAGTTATCTCTTAAAACAATAATAATATCATCTTTCATTTTGAAAAGCACTTTATGTAATTTTCAATTTTGAACCATAATATCATTATTTAAATACAAAACAATATTTTATTCTCTTAATTATGTGTGATATAATTATACAATACATTTTATAAAAAAGTCATTATAGGTAATTTAATTTTGGGCGGAGATATACTTTTTAAATATGGAAGTTGTACTTTTTTTATATCAGTTTATAAATTATATTGTTTGAATAAAGATACTCCCTCAATTTTTTCTCAATTCATTTTTTTAAAAAAATTGGTATAAAATAAAAATAAAACTTACATATGGAGTATTTAAAAACTACATCTAAAGTTCTTCAAAATAAGAGGTAACAAAAATATTTAATTTTATCAAATAATCGAAGAAACGTACAAAATTATTTTTACGTGATTTTTGAATAGTGAACTATGTAATTCTTTTTGGAACAGAGAGAGCAAGCTTCATCCGTCCAAAATTAAAATGCATGTTTCCATTCATATGGTCGAATTTCTTTTATTTTCTTTGTTTATATTCACTACTTGTTTGATAAAATAATATAGTCTTGTCACATATTTTTACTACTTTGTTTTTTAATCTGCCCTTAATTCTAATATAAATTGAATTAAACACGACTTCAACCAACCAACTCACCTCCACGCCAAAGAGAGAAAAGAAGGAGAAGAAGATCGTGGACTCGTGAAAGGGGAAGAAGAAGATCGTGGACTCGTGGTGAAGGGGATGAGGATTACATATACTTCGAATCTCGATCGACAAAGGAGGTGGTGCGTGCCGCTCGACGCCAAAGCCAAATGGCCTTGGTGACTCATATGTCCTTCGTTCCAAAAGAAATATTTAGCACAAGACTAGACCAAAAATTCGATTACCGTCCGCATCCGTTTTCGTTTATATAGAAAATATTTACATCCGTTAAAAGCGGTTATTATCCATATCCGATTAAAGATATCTGATTGCTTAACGAATACAAATCTAATAACATACATCTGATTCGTTTATAACCCGCTCCACATTGAAATTTGTTCAGATAACAGTTTATCCGTATATTCAGTCCGTTATTTATAGTCTTTCCTAATTTTTTACTTTTATATGTTGTTTATTTATTGATATTTCAAAGTATGAGACATTTTTATATGTAAAATTTGTGTAAACACATAAAAATTTGTGTAGGCTCATAAAAATATGTGTATATATGTACTGTGTATATCTTTTTATGATATAAAATAATCGTAGAATATCATAAACTATAAAAAAAATAAGAAAATAATTAACCTATTAAAAGTTATAGTTGATTTAACAATATTTTGATTTAGTTTAATTGAAAATTAAAGTATTGTCTAATTTGGTTTTAAAAATTAGAAACGGATACGGATATATCCGATATCCGACCGATACCCGACGGATGCGGATATGATTACGATTTTTCAGTATCCGTCAAGATCCGTACCTGAATTCAATATCCCACAAAAATAAACGGATACAGATTGGGTAATGGCATATTCGATCCGATTAATATCCGTTTACACCCGACCATATCTAAATGGAATGAGATCAACAAACTCGTGCCATTATAAAAGCCCAAGTATAAGCCAGCAAGCAAACCATCATCACTTCATTGTTCATTTTGAGAAGCAATAATCTGCAATCAACATCAAGCTTCAGCAAACCCACAGTTGATTCTGCAATAAATATAATATAAGGGAGAAGAAATCTATAGCACAAGACTAGACCAAAGAAGAGGTCCTAAAAGACAATGTAAGTTGTCCAAAAGCTACTGCCTCATACAAATCATACAAGCATAAAAGAACAGATGTGACTATATGAGAAGATCACACTATATATAGGCTCCGTTTGGCATCAGCATTTGGGGTTAGAGTTAGCTTTTAAAGCTATCTGACGGTAGTTAGAGTTAGCATTTTCAAAATTAATCTACACCATTAAAACCTAATCTAAAACGATAACACTAATAAAAAAATGATGTTCCCAAACAAGGCCATAGTATGACATTAGTATCTACTTCCAAAGCTTTATCTCATCAATGCCACAACCCAACTAGAATATGATGACTACATCTGCAAGTCCAAAAATTGCAAGGAATGGACGAGCTATAACCAGCTTTAGATGCAGAAAAGACAACAAAAAAAAAAACAGGCAAATTGAAAGAAGTATAGAGATGAGATTTCCCAATGAATAGCCTAAATACAGTGTAGCAGAAAATCAAAGGTGCAAAACCAATTACAACAATTACCAATTATGTACAACAAACCAGTAGAAAAATCATAAACTAACATGTCGAACAAATTAATTTCAAAACAAACCACACAAACAGATTAAATTCCAAAGAGCAACAGGATGAAACAGAAGTAAAAAAGACGATATGTACATAATAGCCAAAGGAATCAAACAGAAGTAAAAGAAAAACAATACATAGCAGCTACTCGTATAAAAAAATCTGATTTGATTTTAAGAGCTAAAAAGATTTGAGTTTCTTACTTGAATGCGATTTCTCCATCAAGCAACTCCTTGAACAAATAAACCGTAGTTCTCCAGAGCCAAACCATTGCTTATATGGAGATGCAGATAGACGCCAACTAATATGTACCTGCTAAAAACACCAAATTTCATGGTTGAACGCTGAGAAGGAGCAGCTTCCTGCAATTAGCATGGAGGGAGAACCATAGGCAACGTTAGGAGTAAAACACAGCTGAAAACAAAGACAAAGTGTAAAGCTTTCAGCCTTAGAGTCCCAAGACGTGGTCGCTATACCAGCCCTTAAACAAACTCAAGATTCTTCGGGGATAAAAACATCAATCACATGTGCAAGAGAGGCTCAATGCACATATATATCTTGCAATCTACTTAAAGATTCCTGCTCCAAAAATAAACTATGAAATTGCAACAAATTTAACCCAGTATTTTGTCTGGTAGAGAAATGCCAAATGACAAGCATAGACAAGAAAGACTGAAGAAAACATAACCATTTTTAATATAAAGATACCAAACTGCTTGGTAGAGACCATCATGGCCCTAACACAAGTCAAGAAGACCCAGACATGACTCAATTACAACCAACTAGTAACTACATTAATTCCATCAGACTCAAGACTCTAGAACTTATTTCTTCAAACTGCAGAAAGCTAATAATTAAATTAAACTAGACACAGACTAGAAGACAACGCATTTTTTTAACACATATAATAATATTATTTCTCTGGTTCATCATAGCAAAGACACGAAATTTGCAGTGTTCAGGAGACTTGAGAGAATTGCCTTTCTGATCCCACCTTCCCCTTGAAAAAATAAGAGAAGTTTTCTGTGGACAGAAGCAATCAACCACATCCCTTCGCCATGAAACAACTTCATCTTCACTGTGAATGGATTCCTGGGAAACCATCTACAGAACAGAGCAATCAATTGCAGAAGCTCAATACAGATCGATCCGCAGAAGACGCCTTAAATCCCCAGTAGCATCATCTTTACTTTCTCCAAGTATGTTTTTCTTCTTAAAAAAGGCTGGAAGCGGCAGAGAGCTGGGAGGCGGAGAAGTTATGCAAGCAGAACCGGCGAAGAAGTTGCCGAATCTAATCTCTTTCGGCATCCTTTCCGGTTCAGGACCTAGCCTAGCAACCGTGGACAACACAAAATCTTCAACAGGTGACTTCTCCCCTCCCTTCTCGTCAACCCTCTTGGAATCTTCATTCAGCGACGCCAAATCAGTCAACACTTCACCGCGTTTCAAAATCCTCACCTGCCCCAAGGACAAATTACTCGCTGTGGACTTCTTCCCCGGCGGGGAACTGGAGGTACTGACACCTCCATCTCTACCTGATTCGGTAGATCTATTCTGAAGCCTTCGCTTCTGCCGATCTGCCCTCCCGGATCCCCGATTAGGGTTAGGGTTAGGATTCGACGACGAATTCACCTTCGACTTCATAGCTGTTTTCACAAAACTAGCGTTCCGATGATTAAATCGATTCTGTAAAGGGTCTTGCGGGCGAAGAACTTCCACTGAACCCATCGGAAAATACGGTCAACTCCGGCAGAGAAATATAAACAAGAAAAGGAAATGATTTTTAATCCAAAATCAAGGGGGAAGAGAAAGAAGATTGAACAGATTACAGATCTTGGAGTGTAGAAACGCTCCTCGTGTGTACGTACATACAGCTACGAATGGACAGGAATGGCGGATCTAGAGAGAAGAAGGGTTTCGAGATATGGGAAAAGGGACGAGACGAAAGATGGGTTATATAGCAAGCAGAGGCGGTAGAGAAAACGTGGAGTCCACGGATTCTAAAACGCGTGAGCAATTACTTTGGGAATAAGTGTAGAGTCTCTTTGGGAATACCGTTAGAGATTAACGTTAGCGTTTTGGATAAAATTTTAACGGTGCAGATTACTTTGAAAACGCTAACGCTAAACGCTGCCCGTAGATAGCCTTTTCAAAACGCTAACGTTAATCGCTAACGCTATTACCAAACAGGCCCGTATATCGTGTCATGTTTTTTTTAAAAATAAGATGGGTCTGCGTGCTCTGTATGACTCGGCCGAACGGTCACTCAGAGAGAGTACAACAACAACAACCCAATTGAGAGTAAATTGGTTTTAATCACACATGAATAACATGGGTGGAGCTCGGTCTACCCCTTGGTAGTTCTTACCTTTGTCAACTGTACAACCCCTTTGGACGGTCATGTTTTTTTGAAGAATGCATAAAATGGGAAGAATATTTTTCGGATAAAGAGAGTAATTGTTTGAGTGTCTAATATCCCCAACCTTTTCCTTTTTTCAATACTTGTTTGATTGTATTTTGCATAAATTTCTAATAATATAAGTTAAATTTAAACATGTTAGGCTAAATAATTTTGTTAGATGCTCATTCTATTAAAAAAAGCCCTCTAGTTAAGAATGACACAAAATGACACAAAGTTTAAAGTAAGTAAAAATGTTTGGTATAAAATAAGGCAGAGAAAAGATAAAGATTGTGAGTCATTCAAAAAAATTTCATAAAAGGAAAAAAGATGTTTTTTACGTCACAAAAAAAGAAAAAAAGGGTAAAGTCAAAAAGTTCCTTATCACCACATATAATCTTTTAATCCGATACTCCCTACGTCCTAGAAATTCTTGATACTTTGGGTTATATTGTTTGATTAAAATTATTTTTAATGTTATTTAAATATGAGTTTGGAGCTAAAGAAGAAATAAAAATATCTCGCTTAAGCCTGAATTAAGACGAGAACGAATTCAGATAGGAAATATAAATGATAGAATAAAAAAACTCAGGTAGAGATTAAGATCATTTTTAATAAGTGTTAATTGCAACTATCAATTCTAATCTAAACTCGACTACAAGTTTAAAGGTGAAAAAGTATTTGATAAGTCAGTGGGATACAATTAATCGTGTGACTGGGTAATGCTTTAGATGGATAAAGTCATAAAGATAGGCTTGACAAAAATTGTCCCTACCTATTTCTGGCTTGGAATCCAACTCAAAATTACTAAGTTTAGAATAAGGATTTTATTGATTGAACTTAAAGTTAACCGAACTAAATATGACTCCCTAAAAATTTGTCAAACCACACCTAACCGACCCACCTAAGTAATGTTTTTTCTAATCATGTACTTTAATTTGAAATATTATGAAGTACGATAAAATAATGTAATAATCTAGAGTATTATTCTTTTTCTTATTACTCCTTTGTGTATATATTTTTCATTCCAAATTTTTAATGATAGCGTAAGTGTTAGCAATGTTAATCCTACTTTGGAAAGGGAGAGACCTTATTTTTGAAATACTCGCAACTTTAGGGTATAATGTTTGGGCTTAGGAGTTAGGATCCAATTGGGGTATATCAACTTGTATATCAAATTAATTGTATCCCACTACATTTTCAACTATATAATTTTTATCTACATTTTTAATTTTTTTATTCACGCCAAAAATAAAATGGTGGAGAGGATGTTGGGGTACACTTTGATGTACCTCAAGTAGTTATGTTATCATTATTTAGCAAACCTGTCCATTCTTCTAATTGATGAGGAAACCTTCAATAGAATTACAGAGTGCTCATTACTCTATTAGAGCAACGGCGATGGAGAAGGCAATTATCTCCCACGCCCTGCCACATCATCCCGGTATTACATTTGCCATGCGTGGCTATGAGATTTTGCCATGCTTGGCGTGGCAACTCAAGGCATCTCTTTTTTTTTTAGTTTTTTTATTCTTTTAATTTTTTATAAAAAAAGAAGTTTTTTTAAAGAGTACATCTATTTTTATGAAAAAAAATGAGTAAAATAATTTCCAATAATTAAAATGTGTTTAAAGAATATGAAAACTGACTAAAACAATGACTTACTATTAGAAGAAATGTCACTCCATTCACTGGTCAATGCTGACTTGACTGATTTTGATTGGTTAGAGTACTCCATGTCGCTGTGTGTCATTCCATTCGTTATTGTCATTGCTTCTGCTCTTGGTAGGGTAGATTTTACAAATAATACTCCCTCCGTCCTAAAATTAATTTCTCAGTTTGACTTTTGCAGTCAAACTTTTTAAACTTTAACTGTATATTACAGAAAAAATATATTGAATTTTCAAATAAATTTATTATCAATAGATTCATTTTGAAACATAGTTTTGAAATATGTTATTTTTGTTATATATATTTATATAAAAATGGAGATATTAATGGTCAAAGTGTCGCATTGGAGACCGTGAAAAGTCAAATGGGAAGTTAATTTTAGGACGGAGGGAGTATATAAATTTAATGGTAATTTCATTCCGATATAACAACTTCAAATCCTCTCACAACATCTAAACCTGCTACTTTTTTTAAAAAAAATATTAATAGTAGGTTTTCAAGTGACCAACAAGTAACCTAGAGCCAAGTTACAATTTTAGCAATTTAAAATATTTTGTTTTGACCTTATTTTTCTCCTCCAACACCCCCTACTTTTCTTCTTCTTCCAGTGACCCCCTTCTCCTCCAATTCTCATCAGATCATATATATATATATATATATATATATATATATATATATATATATATATATATATATATATATATATGATCTGATGAGAATGCATCTTGGTGAAATAAATAAGAATAAAATTTAACTTTTGGATCTGATGCATCGTGCGGCTAAGATTGCATCCTGTACTCAGATTTTGAGATGGTGCATTTTCAAAGGATTTTGGTGCATTTCGACATGATGCATTTTCAAATCATTCTGGTGCACCTAATTTTGATGCAATCCTGACCCTTAGATCTCACAATCTAAAGCACCAGATTCATTCTTATTTTTTCATAAGATCGCATTCTCACTTGAACCAATATATATATATATATATATGTGTGTGTGTGTGTCTATATATATATATATATATATATATATATATATATATATATATATATATATATATATATATATATATATATATATATATATATATATAGTAATGTGTACCTACAGGGCCTACAAAAAAATAATACTCCGTAATAAAATAGGGAAGAACCTCATTGGAACCATTTTGGGTTGTGGATGCTCTTGGGATACAAAATCACATTTTTATTATTATGTGAACCCGCGGGAAATCTTCAAATAGAAATTGCCTATTATTATCACAACATTTTTTTGAACTCTTGTATAAAACAATGGAAAAAATGAACTCACCAGCATTCCACTCCTGCTTACTATGAAAGGAAGTACTTCCAGTCTCATCTAAGCTTAGCTTAGCTTACATTGTAGAATGAATCGATGATGGCATCTGCAAGATATTCGCATTTCGCTGCAGACAATCCAGCCAGTGATATTCTTCCATCTTTGGTCATGTATACGTGCCACTTGTTCGTCATGTTTTCGCTCTGAATATTCACAAGAAAGTGCAAAGAAAAAAAACGAAAGAAATGAGAAACATATGGCCGGGCAGGCATAAGAAGATGAGTTTTTTTTTGTGGAAGTCTTATGAGTTTAATCATTAAATGCCAATTAGACCCTGTTCTTTTAAGTTGAAACCTCGGAGTTGGATGTTAGAAGAAACTAGATTAAAAAGGAAAGGAAAAATACTAATTCTAGATTAAATATGCAAGAGAACTCTATTTCTAGATTAAAAAAAAATCATCATTGTCCGTATTGGAGGTGGTATGTTATAAATTTGGATATATAATGCTATTATATATTCTGATATTCATCATATATAAATACTTTTTTAATTGTCGTTGCTGGAAGAAACTAGAATGAGTTGGAAAAAGTTGGATGTTAATTTTTCCAACTCAAAAGAACAGGGCCTTAATGTGTGAAAACAGACGGAGTGCTCTGTAAGAGATAGATCACATTTTTTTCAAACCAAAACAAGGAGACAAATGGGCAAACATAAACAAGATTAACCTGAGCTTTGTTGAGGCCGGTAAAGGAAAACATGCCAATCTGCTTTAGTATGTATGACCAGTCCTTCCCACTTTTGTCCTTCGCACAAAGGCTGTCATATAGTTTTCGTCTCACGCTCTTTATCCTCCCTGCCATCATTTCCATCTCTTGTTTCCATTCATTGAAGAGCTCGGGATTACCAACGACATTGGCAACAATCCTAGCTCCATGGATGGGAGGATTTGAGTACATTGGCCTTGCAAGCCTCTTCAGTTGGCTTTTCACCCTGTAATGAACCATCTATGCAAGTTTTAGGGTCTATTTCATAGACTGTCCTCTTATCAGCTGAACAAGCAGAGTAAAGGCCTGTTTGGTAACAACCATTCGTGAATTGCAACTTGAAGGAATAGTTGCATAATTGCAGGCTTAGCATCTTCAAGATTTGTATTTCTAAGAATATGAACAAATTGTAAATGCCACACTCTTTCCACTTTAGCTCCCTATCTCTATTTCATTTTGCTAGAACATGACAAGCACCCTATGACCTTAAATTTTTTTTGAGGCACCCTATGATCCTATTTGTGTGTTTTCATTGATTATTTGATAAAATAAAATATTCTCGTCATGTCTTGTTTTACAGAACTTAAGATGCAGTTTTGAATTATGTAAATTGTACTCTTTATTTCTATACCAATTTGTAACTTTTAAATAAAAGAGGGACGGTGGGAGTAGTATTTAGACTATTTGCCTTGAAATCTTGGGTATTTTGAAATTAGGGAATTAATAAATAGATAGAATACGGTTTCATTATAGTGTTTTGGAGCCAAAACTTATAATGCTAAAATGAACAACATCAAATCCCAATATAACCCCAACTTCTAAGGGATACAGAAGAACGCAACCTTTGCATTGTAAAATAAAGTTGTTTTTATTAGACCCTTGAGGCATTGATGCATTTACTGTCCAAAGGAATTTTACTAGGCAATTTTAATGAGATCTATTATTTACTTGAAGCTAGACATTGTCAAAAATGATTCTTCTAGCTCCATTGTCACTGGGCGACTTACAAAACATGTGTGTTAAATGGTACGTATACATGCTACACATGATAAAACATATGTGATGAATGTATTCCTTCGATATTTTTAACATAAAAAATGAATGTTTATTAAATGGTACAATTGACTGAATGAATAAACTCACTCTCAATTGGGATGAAATTGTTACTCTTAGCTTTAATTTTAGATATTATTTTCTTGAGTTCGTTTGTGTGTATGATTAGATAATTTCTTTAGATAATTAAGCAAATTTAGCCAAATAAACCATGGATTTAGCTACTTTAGCCGCTTTGAGCCTTCGAAACGGGATCTAAGTAGCTTTTAACTTGTTTTTCTGAAATGATTGTTACCAAATGCTTTTTGTTTAAGAAAATTCAGCATGTTCGAACATTTCATCCAAATAACCTTTACCAAATGGGCATCTATTTGGCAATATTATTACCAAAATTTTTTTCTTTATGAAAAATCATCACTTTTGGCCATTGCATCTAGGGTAAAGAACTCTTTTCAAAGAGGTGACATGATTATTTTATTGTAACAAATGATTAAAGTAAATAAGTAAAGAAAAAAGATATAGTTTGGCATGTGAATATTGAAAATGAAGTTTATGTAGGGATGGAGGAATTAGTTTTTGCTCTCACACAATTCAGATTGCATTAATTCTAGCTCCATGTAGTAGAAGAGTATTTCACCTTGTTGCTGCCTCTGCTGATGAGCAAACAACATTGATAGCTCCAACTCTTTCTCCATAAAGACCTAGATTTTTACTGTATGACTGAGCAACAAGAAGCTCCATACCACGTGCAGCAAACATTCTAACAGATGATGCATCTGCATCAAGGCTACCACTTGCAAATCCCTGCAGTAGCGTGTAGAATTAAAAAGGATTCGGATTGTGACACAATTCATTAGTGATTTATTCTAATATAAAACCATGCACTACAATTGCAGTAAAAAAAATCAATGTCATACATATGATACCCCTAGTTGAATATACATCAGAGTTTGTCTATTAGGTTTGAAATGAAATTAATATATATGCGGTAAACCTACCTTTAGAATCCTTTTGAAATGAATCCTTTTGGGTTGTGAATTATTCCTAATTTAACATCACATCAATGTACTATTCGAGTTTGGCTGATAGTGGTTCATATGGTGCCTGCCCGCTGATTGATTTTAGGAAGCTCATGTGGGATTTGTTTGAGCTCACTCACCCAATGAGTTGTCAAGCCCGACTTGGTTTGTGATGTTTTGAGTACCACACATAGTTTATCACTTTGTCCACTAGATTTAATAGGTTTGTGTCGAGTATATAAGTGTAGTGTAAACATCACCTCAAAAGAATTCTTTTGGAGTGCATTAAGCCCTATCTAATACGGAGTATTTCTTATCTCCAAGACTCCAATATTGTTTAAACAATGTGAACCTCAGTAAGTTCGGACCAAGTTGAAGAAAAAACCTGATAGGCAACATCAAAAAAAGGAATGTGGTTCTTCTCTTGGATTAAGTCTGCGATCTTTTCCCACTGTTCAGGTGTAGGGTCAATACCAGTCGGGTTGTGAGCACATCCATGTAGCAAGATAAATGACCCTTCAGGGGCAGCCTGTTAACAGCTAGTGATTTAATTATTTAAAATATCTTTATGGCAAGAAAATAAAACATCACCAAACAACTTTGTTTTGCACACATGCTAAAAAGATTCTTTCCTCCAACCTAGGCATATTCATTAAAATAAGATAAAGGCACTTGAACAAAAGCTCCAGAGGATGAATGGTATGCTCTCACAAGAGTGATCAAACATCAAAATGCACTAGCTCTACATTTCCAACCAAAGTTTCAAATACCGCAAGAGAATATGAAGGAAAGTGTGGAAATGGTTGTTTTTGAGTATGTTTGACATGCTTTTTCACTAGACTATCTACCATGTGAAACTACTCACAATGAGAAGCTTTCAAATCCAACATTTTCCCTTTTTGAGAGTTGGTATGAAAAAACAATTACCTTAATATCCTCTAGCATCCCTTCAAAATCTAGACCGACTGTTTTCGGATCGTAATAGCGATATTCAGACCAGGGTACTCTGGCATCATTGAAAATGTTTTTGTGATTACCTGCAAAAATAACCTGATCATAACCAGTGTTTACAAATAAATGTTGCAAAGTAAAAATGGTGCATACCCCAAGTTGGAGATGATATCAAAACTTTTGAGCCAGGGAAATATCGCTCGATTAGTGCTGCTGCAAGTCGTAAAGATCCAGTTCCTGAAAGACCTTGGACAGTTCCCACCTGAAAAAAACATATAAAATACCATGTTACACTGACCTTTTAAAAAATCATACTCTGTATATATTAACTCTGGCAAAGAAAACTGGTTTGTATGAAATGAAAAAAAGACTTCTGATACCCTTTGTTGTCGAATCACTTCATTGTCAGCACCAAACAGCAACTCTGCGGTGACTTTGTTGAAGGCAGCCAAACCTTCTATTGGAAGATACTGTACAAAAACTAAAACCGTGAGAAATACATAAAAATAATACAAATTGCTCTAAAAATGATATTCAGTCTGTCGTGCATTCACCTCTTTATTTTCTCCGTTCTGTAGCATAAGGTTCTCCGCCTATGGAGCATGAGTTACAATGTAGACAAAAAGGCAGATCAGTCCCCAGTTTGGAATCTTTGTTCAGATGTAAGAACTAGAGTTTAAACTTTCAACCCATAGTATGCGTTTGAAAATGAATATAACCCAAAACAACCGAATGTATGTTATCAGCTATTGTCATGTTTATTGGACTAATGAAAATGAATTTACCTTCTTGACGACATCAAGAACATAAGGTTGAAGTTCTTCTGTACGGTACGCTCCTACTCCAAGATTAAGCTTCAAATCATTTGTATCAGCTCTGAATGCTTCAGATACTCCAAGGATGGGGTCCGGAGGAGCCATAGTTATGCCCTCAAAACGAGAAACATTAACTGTGGCAACCATTTTTATCTGACCACGGGACTGAGGAAAAGATAACAAGTTAAAAAAATTAGATTTCGAATGCTATAACAACATGTTATTAGGAGCATGTGTCTTTCTACTCGCATGTGCATGGACATATTACTTTTACTATGCCTCGGATTAATCAATGCAACACAACTCCAGAAATGGGAAAACACTCATTTTGGTCCCTATGTTTTGATTATGTGCACTTGTGAATCAATTTAGAATCCATATGTTTTGTTGGGTCAAATTGGTCCTGGTAGTTAAAAATGTGAATCGACTTACTCACTTAAACAAAATTTATTCAACGGCGTCAGTGAAACACTCGTTTGGCACGTTATATGGTCCTTCCTCATTCTAAGTACATACGGAGTATATGCTAGTCGCATGTGTCCATATACGTAGTAATTACTAACCCATGTAACATTAACTAAGATGATTCACATTTTTAACTATCATTTAAATAATATCCATTAGAGGCACTAACGATTCACATTTTTTAGCTAGAGACTGGTTTGACTCCAAGTACTTAACATATCGGGACCAAATCGACTCACGAGTGCACAGACACCAAAATGAGTGTTTTCCCAATTGGAAATCCTCACTATGTACCTATGTTCACTAAAAACTACTCGGTATGGAAATATTTCTTTCGTGTAAATCAAAGCCACACGCCTTTGGCGAACTCACGAGATCTTTGCCGGAAAGTAAACCATGTTCATAGCTCCAGGGCTTCAATTTGATCTGCTCAGAGAAATAAGACCGGAAACACATTTCACCGCGTTAAAACATCCAAATCCAACACGATTCAATCCCTTAATCACAGAAAAAAAAGGAATTAGATCTGATACTCTATTTCGTAAGCTGGTATTGAGCTTCGCCTGAGAAGACAGTGAAGCCGACGGTGAAGCGGAGGCGAGAGGAGAGAACGTCGTCGAAGCCATTGTGATCTGGATGCGGATGATGATGATGATCTGTTAAAAGTCTGATAATCGATCAATACCACCGCGTTTTGGAACATGAACAGCTAACCTGAAACCCGTTTGTTAATTAACTTTGAGTAGGAGTGAGGATCGTCCCCAATATTTCGATACAATCAAGGGTACTCCGTCCCATATTAATTACAGTGAAAATGCAGGGGTACTCCAAAATGTACCCCAAATATCTCTCACCCTCTTTATTACCACAAAAAAGGTAAGTAACATTCAAAAAAGAAATAAAAAAATACTAGTAAAAAGAAAATAAAATGAATGGTGTAGAGGCAAGTGGTGTACATTTGGGGTACAGTTTTGGTGTACCCTAGCATCTCCCTAATTACAGAGTATTAGGAATAATTCTTTAGATCCTCCAACGGAATAAATTTTTATTAGTTTAAATTTTAACACTATCTAAAAAAATTGTTTTTAGATAGTCTTTTCAAAATGCTAACACTGATCAAAATGTCTTTTATAAGATTGGAAGTTCTTAGCATCTAACACACTCCACTCCACCATATTACCTTCTCTCACCAATCATCGATTTGAACTGCCAAATCAACAATTTCGAGAGTGAGGTGCAGGGATGTTTAAAAAAACATTTTCGTTCCTTAGAGCAATGGTAATGGTTGTAACGCCCCACGGTGTCACTGCTCTTTTAATGCCTGAGTGGCGTTAAACACCGCCCCCTAGGGCTTCATCCGAGCGTCATTGGCACTGCATTAAATTTATAACGGGCGTTTACACTATATTTTTCCATTCAAACGGCTACAAGCCGTTATAAACTAAAAAAATCTCTTCTATAAATTACCTCAATTTTAAAAATAAACCTCACAAACAAAATCTTTCTTCTTCAATTTTTTTTAAAAAATAAACACCCTCCAAATATTTTCCTGTATCTTCTTCAAATTAAAAACATTCAATTTTTTCATATTTTTTAACATGAATTCTTTAGTTTTAATGTTCCTTTGTCCGGTCTCAAGTCAAACGACCAATCAAATATAATTTGCTTTCGAGAGAAGACATAACGAGATCAAGACTAAATATAATTTGTTTTAGATTTTTAATTAATGTAGTTTTTTTAATTAAATGTTCTTTTCTTATTGAAGGTAATTATTTTCATTTAATGAATTATTGTTGTTTAAATTTAATTAATTAATGAAGTTTATTAATTTAATTTTATAAAATATGTAATAAAAAACTTAGAAAATTAAGATTTGAAGCCCCATGGCTTCATACCCATTTCCAATGAAATTGTGAGATAAGATAAAGCTGACGTGACAGAGAAATAAACATTGAAGATGTTTTGATAATAGACAATTATTTAGGTACAACATTCTTGATTATAATGTTAACTTTACGAATTATTTTTAAATAACGCAGATTAACATTGAAAATGAAAAAAAAAAGAAATATTGATTTTAGATGGTTGTTTCAAACACTAAAATTGGACGTGAAAGTTGTTCTCAAACGAGTACAACATAAAGTTATGCAGTCCATGCTCGAATCAATCCGAGAGTTGGATAAAACCGAACCGCACCAGACCTATCAGGTACAATCTTCCCTCTTTAACATACTCGGTATTTTTTAAGATATGCTTATTCGGGTCTTAGGGGCTGTTTGGAAACTTCTGAATAGGTAAGTGCTGAACCAGTAATAGGTTTGAACCATTTAATGCTGAACCAGTAAGAGGTCTGAACCATTAAGAGCTAGTATATTGCTTAACTATTCAGAGGCAAATGTCTGATCAATTCAGATACAAGGTCTTAACCATTCAGACTCAGTATAATACATAACCATTCAGAGGCATCTGAACCATTAAGAGGCTGAAACAAACCGTCTGAACCATTAAGTGATGAACCATTCAGACATCTGAATTATTAAGAAGCTGAAACAAACAACCTCTTAATTTGGCCGAGTTCAAATCCGGTGAGACCAATGAACTGACCCGATGGACCGGTTATTCGAACCCGAGAGTGTTTCATTACTATGTGGGCGCGGGCCACTTGAATAATTTGTAGCAGGGACGGGTGCAGTGGAAGGGTGGATTTATAGCTCTGACCCCTGCTCCCCCGGGACGGAGGTTCGACTCACACCTCGGTTTTTTTAGAGTCGATTTTTTTTCTTAATTAGCGCCAAAACGACGTCGTTTTTGCTCCCCCTTTTCTGTAAATTTCTCCTCTTAATTTTGATTTTGGAACCCTAACGGCCTAACTCCCTAAAAGCTTCTGCCGTTCTGCGAGACTGCGACCGCCGACCAGCCGCCGCCCGCCAGCGACCTGCGTCATCTTCTTCCCGTCGGTAGAACTCCAGGCAGTCCAAATCCAGGGTCTCCGGACTCCGTCACTCCCGTCAGCGACTCAGCGGTAAGGTAAAAACTTTTCTTTATTTTACTAAAATAAATTTTTATGGTAGTTTGAACTTTAAAGTTTGATATATGAATATATGATTGGTATTTAGTAAGATATAATAATTTACACATTTATTTTTTATTCATTACTTATTCATTAAAGAATCAAAGATTTTTCTTCAATAAAAAATTGATTTAGGATTGCAAGTGATAAGTATTATTTTAACCACACGGTGCTGGATTTATGGGAGTCATCATATATGTAAATGTATGTAAACCACGATTAGTTTCCGAGCATCTGAAATTTCATGTCAATTTTTGGAAAAAATTTGTAGAATTTGCTAAAGTTTCTGCATTTATGAATGTGCCAAAGCTTTGAAAGAATTTTTAAAAACTTCAGAAATTTTGAGATTTTCTGAAGCTTTTAAAGAACAAGCTAAAACACTGCTCCTTATTTTGTTTCCATTGCTTGTGAACTTTGAGTTCTGCTTTTCTAGCCTTATAGCTTCATCATATGTTTGGGTTGGGTTGGTTTGGTTTGGTTTTGCGTTTCCAAATGCTGAATTCATACCTGTCTCGACAGGATACAAGAACAAGTGAGGCTGCTAAAGTTATGGTACGTGTGTGTGTGTGTGTGTTTTCTAGGAGGAATCATAGGAGGAATCTATTCAAGTTTCTAGGATTCCGTGTGTTTGTCCAATTGTTTGCTCACAGATGTTTTGGATATTTTGTTAAAATTGTAGGATTCTTCTGGAAAGATGGATAAAGAGATTGATAAAGAGATGGATAAGAAAGTAAAGAAGTACCTCAGAGGCGAACCGGCAAAATTGGATGTATGATGCTAAGATGTTATTTATTCTTCTAAATCTTAATTTTTTAAAATTATTATGGGGTATAACTAGGAAATATGTTTGGTTATTTGCAGGTCTTGACTGACAAGAAGTTGAAGGGACAGCTTTCTGTCAGAGAAGAGTTGTATGTAAGATCTGCACAAGCTGCTGCAAAAGCCGAAAAGGTTTCTTTATCACGGAAAACTCAATTCGCCACTTCAAAGTGTTAAAGTGACTCTAATAGCTTCTACCTGTATATCATGGTTGTTTTAATGCTTCAAAGCTTTATTTCATCAGTGGCTAATGCCAAGTGAAGGGGGCTACTTGGAAACTGAAGGGGTTGAGAAGACATGGCGGATAAAGCAGGAGGCAATTGGCCGCGAAGTAGACATTTCGAGTGCCAGAAACCAATATGATATTGTCTTACCAGGTTAGGACTGGGTCCTGATACTTGTATAACTCCCTCAATCCAAGAATTTTTGTCTCACTTTCCTTTTTGGTCCGCCCATAAATTTTCTTACAGCAAGGAAGTTTGCCTTTATTGTCAAACTTACCCTTCCACTATATTTAACACTATTCGTCCAAGGGTTAATGTGAAAAGTCAATGTTTTTTTCAATCTCTTATTAATGTGTTTCGGGTCAAACCGGAATAAATTCTTGGACAGAGGTGGTATTTCACTTCCAATATGAAAATAGTACCCATTGTTTGCATCTTTTAAAAAGCACCCTTGTGATTTTGTTAGTTAATTTATGCTAATTAGGACGGGGTTGCCAAATGTTTTATTTGTTAATCCAAATTGTAAAAGTTGAAGGCTGTTTTTCATTGCAATTTACTAACACTATGTTTGGTTCAAAGAACTTGAAAGAGAAGAAAAAAGAAAATAATATAAATAATTTTCGTGTTTTGGGTAGTGAGGAAAAGAAAAAAAATTAGAAGGAAAAGAAAATGAGAGGAGAGAATAAACTAAGAAAAGGGAAAACAACTTTCATCCCATTTTGATGAAGAAAATGGGAGAAATCCTTTATCTTTTCTTTTCCTTCTGAATTCCACTAACCAAACATAGTGTAACTGTGTAAGGGTTTTTTGGATGGAGGATTCTGGAGGGGAAGGGTGTGGATAGTTTAGAAACATAACTTTATGCTTTGATGTGTTTGTGTGTAACTTTCAAAGATTAAAATCGTATGCAATTGCATAATGTTTCAATTATCTTTTGTTCGTCTTTTAAAAACATTCTATCTTTATCATGATATAGGGTAAGCCCTCCAAAATCTTCCCTTAGTTATGATGTTTATATACTTCATAATATTTCTCAAGAATGTACCTTTTAATATGTTTTTGCTATAAATAAGTATTCCTCACAAGTTCTAGTAAACTCCTGATTCAAGAACATCTATTGACTTCATATTTAGTTCAATGTCAAACAACATTGTTTTTAAGAATATTTTCGCATGAAATTTTATTCGTTGTGTTTGCAGATCTTGGACCTTACACTCTTGATTTCACGCCCAGTGGTCGCCACATGGCTGTAGCTGGTCGGAAGGGACACGTTGCTATTGTAGACATGAAAACACTGAATCTTATTAGAGAACTACAGGTAATATCTGTGTTGCTAATCAGCGACTCGTTCTTTTATACACATTTTTTATAGTGAATTGGAACGAAGTAACAGTTTTATGTTTTCCAGGTTAGAGAAACGGTTCGCGACGTAGTCTTCTTGCACAATGAACTGTTTTTTGCTGTTGCTCAAAAGAAGTAAGACACTTTTTAACTTCCAAGTATTGCTCACATTATAAATAGTGTTTGTTTTTTGATAAAATAAAATTAATGTTGTTATGATTTTTCATTTTCTCCTCTTCTAACCAACTAATGTAGGAATTAATCTATAAAAAATGTTAACAGGTATCCATACATATACAATAGGGA